GGAACGCTATGTGGCGTGGCGTCGTCGCCGGTATCGTACCCAGTACTTAGCGAAGTGGAAAGGATATCCACATTCACAGAACTCATGGGAGTTCGAGGTGCCACTCCATGAGGGCTGCCCTGACGTCGTTGATGCCTATGCCCTGGCCCACCAACTGCCAATGAGTCACATGGGCTCGTGACTGCGTCGCCAAGTGCTCCCCGCCAGTAGTGCGGGTGTCTATAGGTCGGTAGCTGAGCTCAGGCTCTGACCACTAGCTGGAGCAGCCAGCTCAAGCATGAACATCAGTATGCTAGATAGTTAAGCGTTTATCGCGACTTGGCCGCAATAAAATAAAATAAATACACTTCTGGTTTTGAAGCATACATTTATTAGTGCTTTTTAATAACATTGACCATGGTTCTTGGGCTGTAAGTTTCCTTTGGATAAGGAACTTAGTTTTAGGGACTCTTTGAGTCATACGTCTTCCTCGGACGCTTACCTACAGCAGCACCACTACAGTATGGGCAACGGGAAAGTTCCGTTGCTATCTCGATCGTCTCGAATTCGACCTGTTCTCCGACCACAAAGCTCTAATCTGGGTCTTTAACGATACGAACCGTACAAGCAGCGCAAAGCTTACCCGTTGGGCGACGCAACTCTCTCAATTGAGGTTTAAAGTGTTCCATAAGCCTGGAAAGGCTAAGGTGCACGTGGATGGCTTATCACGGTTATACTCCGAGACGATTGGGGCTCTATCAATGCGCGAGCTGCTGAACGAGGCTGAAATGGAGGAGGAGAGTTCCGCTCAGGTCGGGGAGCGCCCTGCCGTGACGGCGACCACCGTAGCTGTGGCTCCTACAGGGGAGATTCCCCGCGAGTCCCATGCCACGCTAAATCCATAGAGGCCCAGTGTGCCTTTCATCGCAACGCAAGTTAATCCTAGTCTTTGGTGACTACTTTACAAGGTGGAGCAAGGCATTCCCTGTTAAAAGGGTTGTACACCTGTGACTTTCGTGGAAGTCATGGTGAACGAAGTAGTATCTAGGCACGGAGTGCCCAAGCGACTGCTGAGCGACCATATTCAACGTTATTTCGGGATTAGCATGACCTTTCTACGAGACTCTGGGAATCAAGAAACTACTCGGGGCGGACTACCACCATCCAACTCAGGGGCTGGTCGAACGCTTCAATGGCACACTTCTTAGCATACTCCGCTGATTCGTTCGCGAATCTTAAGACGGTGGGCGAGAACGCTTACAGGATCGCTATACCGACGCATCCCAACAAGGTTGTCACAGTTAATGTGAATCATCCCCAGAGATTCAATGGATGTTGGAGCCGACCGTTCCCCTCGAACGTCCTCGACGGACTCGAAATGAGACCCGAGGCGGATGACCAAGGATCCTTGCTTGAGGAAGACCTATCGTCGACGAGCTATATGGAACGTCTTCTATAGGAGGAGAGGAGACGGCAATTATAGGAGTCGACTACCCGGTAGTTAACATCCTCGCCCGCCGGAGAAAAGACTGAGAAGTGCAGTATCTAGTACGGTTAGCGTCGTACAAACCCTGTGGCGGCCTAAAACACTCCAGCCTACCTATGGCCCGATGATACAAGCTTTTGACTGCCCGAGGCGCTCGCCTAACAGCGGTGAACGCCGCTGTCGATGAAGACGATTCACTTTTCTAAGGCGAAGAAGGGACCT